CCAAAACACATGAGACGACATTGATGTGTTCGGGTTATTTTGGTTAAAGGACCTTTGAGCAGAAACATCTAGGTAAATAAAAAGGTATTGAGCCGTGATGTTGATGAATTGGCGCATTTAAGTTATGTATTTATGGGGAAATCGGAAAAATTGGTATTCAGGTGGCTTACGCAGCGATAATAAACGGGCAATTTGGGGTTAACAAATCGAGTGATGTATGGCTTTATCACGTCCTTCCGCTGAACACGTGGTTGGAATATTTGATATAGTCAAACCAAACAATCAATTTATATAGTTAACTTAAAACCATTGATACTCCATAATTAACATTAAGATAATAAAAAACAATAAAAACAGCCAGGCAATAAACAAATATTTGTTTTTTAATAAAATTCTGGTCACGTGCAGAAAAAGTTAAGGCCAACTCAAACACAGGACGAAGCTCACGTGTCTCACACGTGACTTTTGCGAATTTAAGATGCAATTACCGAGTAAATAAAATAAATGCAGTGAGGTGCCATCCAAGGAAAGTAATTGTGCTATTGTCATATATCATTTTTGGGTAGAGAAAGTATTTTTAAATGATTAAGAGAGCTTGAATATTAAACTTTCAACACCAATATTTATTAGTACATTTTATGCAAAGTTTATTCATAAAACCAATTTAAAATTTAGAATTTCTTCTTTCTTAGAACCATTTAAATTGCCTTAAGTTGAAGCAGCCATCATAATTAGAAGCCAGTCGCAATTTTCAACGGAAACGTGCTAATTGCAGGTTAAAGAGTAAGAAAAGTACAAAAAAGTGAAATGAGGAAACTAATTAGAGGGATGTTAAGCGAATTGGAATGGCAAAACATTCTTCATTGTGTATTAATCTGTCGGGTAAATATTTCTACAGACTACCTGATCGAGTTCAAGTTCAAGACGAAGGAACTCCATTACAATGCATTCTAAAAGGGCAGGGGCAATGTCAACAGACTGCCACGATTGTCAACATTAATAAATCAGCTGGGGAAAAATTGCAGTCGATGGCACTTTTTATGATGCCATCATCAACGTGCCGACGACTATTCCAGATGTCAAACCCTCTGGCCCCCCCAGCAGGAAAATAGAATCGGGAAAAGAGCACGGAGGACTTTTAAATGGAAATGACGCGGAAACGCTAAGGACAATGACGGACGTCGACGTCGAGGATGACGAGTTTTCAGTTTTCAGCTTTGAAGCTGATGGCCTCCCGGGCGTCTTTCCCTGACGGAAATGACATTTCCATGGAGTTGACACCGCCAGCGGAAACGGAAATTTAAAAACAGGCCAAATGGCCGAGCCAAACGGGCAAACAACTGACGAATGCTAATCAAGATGGGAAGTGGGCGAAGGACTGTGGACTTATTGAGGTTGGTTATTTCCAGGAAGAAAGTGGCATCTTTGTCATCAATTGACCTTAATTTAGGTACTGCAGAGTGCTATCGAGATTACTTGATTTTTCTGTTACATTCGCTTGGTAAATTAATTAAGAATCATTTCTCTCTATTTAAAATGCTCTCAAATCATAATTTTCGAGAAAAGGCGCCTAAAATTACTCTGAGAGAGCAATGTTTGAAACTCTCTGAAATAAACAAGGGAGAACGCTATAGTCGAGTACCTCGACTATCAGATACCCGTTACTCAGCTAAATGGAGATATGCAAGCAGCAAAGCGAGATTAAAATGCGCCACCTACCGGCGGTATACAGATTTAAGCGTTATGGGCGTTAGAGTGGGCGTGGCAAATTTTTTTTTGGATCAATCGATAGGTATTGACGAGACCAATACATTTCAGTTAAAATTTTTTATCTAGCATGAAAATTGTGGGCGTCACAGGGTTTTGCGGTTTGTGGGCGTTAAAGTGGGCGTGGCAAATTTTTTTTTGGATCAATCGATAGGTATTGACGAGACCAATACATTTCAGTTAAAATTTTTTATCTAGCATGAAAATTGTGGGCGTCACACGGTTTTGCGGTTTGTGGGCGTTAAAGTGGGCGTGGCAAATTTTTTTTTGGGTCAATCGATAGGTATTGATGAGAACATTACATTTCAGTTAAAATTTTCTATCTAGCATCAAAACTGTAGGAGCCACAGTTTTGGGCGGTTTGTGGGCGTTAGAGTGGGCGTGGCAGTCTACTGAAACAAACTTGCGCTGCGTAGGAAGCTCAGGAATCTGCACGCCAAATCTCAATAGCCTAGCTCCCATAGTTTCCGAGATCTCAGCGTTCATCCGGACAGACGGACAGACGGACAGACGGACAGACGGACAGACGGACAGACGGACAGACGGACAGACGGACATGGCTAGATCGACTCGGCTAGTGATCCTGATCAAGAATATATATACTTTATGGGGTCTGAAACGCTTCCTTCTGCCTGTTACATACTTTCCGACGAATCTAGTATACCCTTTTACTCTACGAGTAACGGGTATAAAAAGAGAGCAAAATCAAGGTGGCGAAAATGTAAAAGAGATAAACCCTGTATCATGACCCCGAAATTCTTTAAGATGATCATCATGTCTGATAAATTGTTTTCTGTGTAAATTACACATTAACCAACAAATACAAGCCAAATAATTTGACAGTCTTTTATTTTTCTTACTTTCTAAATAAATTATTTATATCGCACATGTTCTTAATCCATTTATAAATTCTTAAAACATATCTTGTAAATTTTCCTTGCCTTTCCGTGACTTGTTAAGCATTTTGTAGGGCAATCAATACAAAGTCTATTCCCGGCCTCTCAACATCTCTCAACTTCATATGGGGTCCAAAACTTTATGCACACTTGTTGGGGCAGTGAAAATTAAGTTTTGAGTGTCTGAAGCGTTTTTTATTTGTTCGATTTGAAAATGAATTTGAAGTTCTGCCAAGTTATTCGAAGCCAAGAAGTTCTAAGTCAGATATTGTTGTCGAAAGTTGCTCGCAAGCTGAGTGAAACTTTTGGATGTACGGAATTGAAATCTATCAAAACTGCTTAAAATCAATTGGAAAGATATTTAGATACAGCTGCAACTGAAATGGTGCCAGGAAAATGTGTGCTCTCTAAAAGCTTTTCAAGCTGCAACAGAAGTACAATAGATGGAAATAAAACCATTTACTCCCCATTAAATGAAACCAAAGAGGGACGAGCATCACGTAGATCGAAAGCATTTTTCCTGTCTTGAAACAAAACGTGTTCCTGGTGGCAAATCTTTTGAGGTCCCCTCGGTTTTCCCTCTTTTTGCTACCCTGAACACGTAAGCCACGCACATGGATGGCTAAAGACATTAGAGCGACACAATTAACCTTTTTAAAGGAGGATGTCAACAGTTGGTGACGGGTTGTGGTGTCATGTGGTTGGGTTATGGGATTGGGATTGGTAAGGAGCTTAAGGGACAGAGAAACAAGTGATGGTCCTTCAAAACCTTGTAAAGAAAATTTAATATGGGATAGCATACATGGATGCTCAATGCAAATACAGAAACTACTTGATAAGAAAGTTATATCAACAAACATTCACGTAATAAAAATATATACAAATTATATTTATAATGTTTAAAAATATATCAAAAATTCGAAATAAAAAATATTAATAAATATAAATGTCATATTATAGTAAGACCCTTATAATAACATCACATTTAATTTGACTGCAATTTCCATGAGGGTAAATTAAATTATGCACTGCGCCGGGAATTTAATACAAACGCTTGCCTTGTTTTTTCGCAAACACAGTTACGCAAATATGGTAAAATTTTAATAAGACTCCAAGGACAGCTGGAGGCACTTTCAATTTGTTTTCAACGACGAAGGCAAGGAACTCCCTTTCCTTTCAATCTGCCCACATAGCTAGCACATGAGACACTTTTCCCACTCGAAAAGTCCACAAAACACTCTTGAGGGGGTAACGTAATATTTTTTGTTGAGTGGAAAATTAAACACAAGCTTATCCCTGCGACGAAAAGACTAAAATATCATATTGCAGCTTGACGGTAATAAGATTACTTTTGAGATTGAAATCCGGCCACCTCAAGTTACTGCAATCGGCTTAAAAGTCGAAAGATGGAGTGCGGATTTTTGGATTATCCGAAACTTTAATAAACCGCGCAAAAACCGTTCCCTAATTGGGTATAAAACTCTGTTTTATTTTGCAGTGGAAATTGATATTTGCGCTATATAAAATTTAGTGACCATATCTAGTTATTGCAATTCTTTTTTATGACCATATTTTACGACAGTTGTGCTGGTCTCAGGGGAACTGGAAAAAATATTCAATTGCGATGCAAGAAATGCGCAAAGCTGTCAATCATTGTCACTGTTTTTTTTCCTATTTTACTTCCGTAACACATGGCGTATGAATGATTGTCGGAGTAGGTAAACTATAGGTATAAATAATGAAATAAAAGCAAATGCTGCAAATGACAATTCTAGGGCCAATAAGCCTGGGCACAAAAATCACCAACTGAATAATGAAAACATATCCTTAGGTGATTGTCCCACAAAAGCTCACTCGTATATCAATTTTATGGGCGGCCAAATAAGTTTCTCAACGTGTGAAAAATCGACCGAAGCGAAAACAAATCAAAATACGCCCAAAAGCCAACCGAAATAATTCCTATTCTGTTTTTTTTTTGGGTGCCTGTAAGATAAATGTGGCGAGGATAGTAATAAAATATTTATACAAAATCCCTAAAATCTCAAATGCAGAATAGAGACGCTTAGGTGTTGGCTCTTTTTGTTTTGCCATTGTTCCAAACCATTGACTGATGGAAATTCGATGGAAGGTTCACATCACGTATACGCCCCGGGGACGTGCCAAAATTGAAACTTTCGCCGGTCAACAAATGTGACTTTTTGGGAGATTTATACTATAAATGGTTTGTTTGATTTAACAGCAGCTGCAGGAAAGATATTTTAAATAACCAAATATACACCATATATAGTAAGAGATTTATTTGCATTAAAATATACATTATAGTATATCTTTCAAAGGTTCCATAGTGTGGTAATCATCCTTTTCTGGCCAACAAAGCGCTGTTATTGGGTTCCATCTGGGATTCAACGTGTCTTATCGATTTATTGGTTTCATTAGATTATGTTTTGTTTTTCTTACCTTTCCTTCCTTTCCTGCTTTTCACAGGTTTTGGCTTCATTATTATTGGAGAAATTAGTATTGTACTTCTCCGTTTTGGTGGTTTCCTAGCCTGAGGAGTATTAGCAGATTCTTTTTTAGAATCTGCGGATGATTCGGAACTAGCTGGTTTTTCCTCGAGCTTTGGTTTCTTGACTGAGCTATTGTGACTCGTCGATTTGCTGGGACTATGATAACGCGACTTTCTTCTGGTCTTAGTATCAGACTTGTTTTCACTCTTCTTTTCTGGCTCAGTTGGCTGTGAGTTTTTAGTTGAACTATTATTCTTTTCGAGTTGACTTTTCGAATGCAAGTTGGACTGAACCTTTTGATTTGGAATATTATAAATTAAGTTTAGCGAAGGAATAGTATACATACCATCAAATCTTTGGTTTTGAAACCATCACTGCCATTATTTGGGGGTAGCACCGAGAAAGCGTCTGTCAACGCCTTAAATGTGCCACACTCATCACTGCAATATCTAGACTGAGGTCGTGCGATCTGAGTGCAACAGAAATTGTAGCAGATGCCTCTGTCTTTGAGGGGATTCCCCAATGAATTTGAGGTTTGCTCGACCAACTCCCGGATCAGATCGCATTGCGTTCCCATCGATACGTAGGATTTCTCAACTGGCACAGGGTCTATCTTCTTGGCATTAGCGACTGACTTGGATGTCTTAACTGGTTTGGTGTCAACTGGTTTTTCTTCAACCTTTTCTTCTGGTTCCAATCTTGTTGGCTCCCACTTCTTTTGAACTTTGGCTGATGTCTTTGGCTTTTTAGAACTCGATTTCCTGAAGGGGGGTTGGCGTTTGGTGCTCTCTAAAATACGAATCTTCGGTATTTTTATAATGGGAGCCTCTGTCTTGGGAGCGGGAGTGGTGGGCCCAGGTGGATCGCTGTGGAAGGTGGGCTTCAACTGGGGGTTCTTGAGGCGACAGCTGTCGCAGTAGTATTTGTCGTATCGGTCCCCTTGCTCTTTGCTTATTCCGATGCATCCATGGAACCACACGTTGCAATTATCACAGGAACTGAAAATAGACAAGAAATACAATTGGATTCGAGGACTAATAACCACAACCACAACCTACATCATAAATTCCTCTTTATGGCTTCCTCCGCAGATGCAATAAAAGATCATGTTGGATTCCTCAGGACTTGGATCCTCGGAAGGCTAGTTTATTTAAAGGGATATACCATTATTGGATAAGATATTTTACTGCCACTCACTTCTTTGATTAATCTTTTGTACACAGCCGGCATGTCTGACTTCCAAATGACTACGATTCGAACTGAATATTTTACTGTGTCAAATGATATTTTAACTTTGATTGCTTTGCCCCCGCCTGCTTGTTTCCCCACAGCTACAATTTTGGCTTTCAAAGTGTATTCCCAATTGTCAATTGCATGGCTAGCTCAGCCAATTGCGAAACAAAAACCATGCCACAAAATATTCTTTATTGTTTTTCGGTCTCTCAAAGCACTAAAAATTCATTCAACTTCGATGTGCTCTGCCGGAATTGCAACTCCATTTCCATCAGACTGTGTTTCTATGGGGCATGAATTATTTATTTACGACTGCACATGGTGCAATTTCGTATTACCAGTTCACTGCCTGGCGGTAAATTTTGAATGAACTTGGTTAGTTAGACTTGCAAACAGGAGAGCAGAAATGGCTTCTTTGAGGCCTTGACTCATTTGTCATGGCAGGAAACTAAAGTTACACAAATATTTTGTTACCAAAACAGAACTTAAAATTGGATCAACCAAAAAGAATTTAAAGATTAACCTTTGGTTAACCAAAAAGATTTTATTTCTAATTAACTATTTCCCGGGTTCCCAGGCAATCAGTCCGCATTTAATTATTCCATAACTTTTGTATGCACTTCCTTATCGCATTTTGTACTTGTGCAAGCAATTAACTTTCTTGTTTACCCACATGGCCAACAAATTTTTGGAAAACCCTTCACCTAATGCTGTTTTTATAGCCACCCACTTTGTGTGCTATCTTTTCCCACTCCCTTTTTTTATATCTTTATTTTGGTAGCTACATCCCAGTGGTGCCATTAAGGTTTTTTCCATCATGTGCCTGGTTTTTGCAATTTAGATAGTTGAAATTCGCCATTGCTGCACTTGGCAGAAGCCAAAAAGTTTGATGGAATTTAAAATTATATAAAAACCTAGCCAATTTCCGCACTAGTTAAATATTTCTTTTTTAAGATTACTGGAAAAATCACAAAAAAAAGATAGATCGGTAAACCTTTCAGGATATTGGACACCTGCCACACTCAATTAGCTTCCTTCCGATTGAATTAAGCTGTTTCCCCTTAGCCACCGCATGTTGCACATTCTACATGCCATAAATATCAACCCACTCAATTTTGATGTCACAATCACTCTGGCTTAATTTTTTCATCATCCCCCCCCCCTCTTTTCGGAACTCAAATGGGCGTGGCAGGAACAACATTTACATATGGCATTTACACTTATCAACATTATGTCGGGCGACGCCTGTTTGTGGTTATGTGCCACACATTCGGGTTAACATTGCGTATGAATAATTGAATATTTCTTGTTTTTGCTCTACGCTTTTTGCCCGGTTGTTTGATTAATTGTGCACACACAACGTGTGCCCGTGCTGGGTAAAAAACGAGATGGCTCCATCACACTTTAAGGCCTCGGACAGCGGCAGATGAATACAATTGCATTTTGACCGCAGAGCGACGGGCAGCTGACCTAAAAAAGCTTACGATTGGCAGGTGCGCAAAACGAATATTAAGGCTCAAAGGCAGCAGCACAAAAACCATGCCAAATATTGTGTAAACATGGCTTGCTCAAAGCCAAAAAGATGGGGATTTTAGTGGAAAAAGAACTTGGTTTTTTCTAAAATCAAACAGCTTATTTAGAGTCTGAATTTCGGACAACGGAAAAATTGTAGAAAGTCGTTTAGTCTTATGAAATAGATAGGTTAAAGAATGAAAAACACAAGTTTCATCATTTCTTTAATAGTAGGTAAAAATGTTTATTTATTTCTTTTAGACCTTGAATTTTTCATATATAATTTTTATTAATAATTCTTGAATAATAAAATCCAAGAACAGGCATGATAAATGGTTATTTTTCAATTTTCAACAATTTTCCTAAGTAAAGTATTCAATGTTTCTAAACTTGGTTCCATGGTAATTCAAATAAATTTCAGTTGAATTTAAGATCTCCCACTGGGAAATTCAGCTGCCACAACTTCGATTTGCATTTGGCCCCGTAAAGGTAAATTTCGGTTGAATGTTCTGTCGGCGAATGGAAAATGCAATCGACAAGCGCTTTGAAAGCCAAGGAACTGCTTTTGTGAGCAGTCAAAAGGCAGCAATAAAATTACTTGCGTCACAAAACGAGCTGGGAATCCGAATCGAATTGCAGCCAAAGATAAAAAATGCCAGGCACACATGCGATTATATTGTACGTATGCCTGAACATGCAGGTGAATAAGGGATAAAGTCCTGATTAAAGATTTGCGCTTTCAGCACAATTTGCATTTGCCGGCCAATCTGCAGAAGAATGGGATTAGGGGTTTAGGGGATTTGTAGGACTCAGGCATTCCCTGGAGCAAAATCTCAGAGATTTATTATATAATACGCTTTGATCTTCTATAGTAACTGGATAAAGCATGCCTACCTCTAATGCTTTTTTAGACCCATTACTCGAAGAGTATTATACGTTCAATACATAATAGCTTGCTTTGTTGTTTGGTGTAATAAAAATTTTTAAAAATTATGTAAACAAAAAAAAGTAAAAAAAAAAAAATTGTTTTAGCAGAGCAAGGTTTCGATCCTCGGACCTCTGGGTTATGGGCCCAGCACGCTTCCACTGCGCCACTCTGCTTACTGGGAGTTATGAATATTATTATCCAAAGGGTTATACCTTATAAGGGTTGCAGAGCCTAGATAGTTTCGATGGTCTCCAATTTAATCCTCCAATCTAATCAGAATTAATACACCGTGAAACAAACAGGATTTTTTTTAATCCTCCTTTTTTTAATTTGATTTTGTTTTTATATATATAAAAAAGGTTAGTTCCTCTGAAAAAATTTTGGATAATAAACAGGTTCTTAAATATTATCACTACTTTTATTTTATAATTTCTTCTTTAACTCCTTTTTTTCTGTTTTGCAAAAAGATGTTTGACTAGCATTAAATTACACTTTTTATATCGTTATATAAACATCTTGAGTTCGTAAGTTGGAAGGCCCAGCTATAAATAAGCTTAAGCTGTCATAAACTATTATTATGTAACCATATAAAGCTAGTCCACTTTTTAAAAGTCTCTAACTCCAGTCATAAAAACTAAATGCTTTATGACAAAACAAAATGCTTCTCAGCAAAAATTGTCATATAAAATTTGGCATATAATATAATAAAATGATTGAAATAATACACAATTGATTTATAACCTAACTACATCAAGTGGACTCTTAACTAATTTATGATTTAAGTATAAATAAATTCAATTGAACGAAATTGTATTTATTTTTCTCGTTATGAATGTGGCCTATGGCAAGTGTTTGATTTGATTTAATATAATCGAATTATGAATGGATGTGCATTATAAAACAGTAAACATGGCAACGGACAAAAATTAATACAAAATAATTTAATTAAATTCCTTTGTTACGAATAGGCATAAATTTAAGGATACAAAAATAGGGACATAAAATCTGTTTATTAAGCTTTAATGATATACCGGAAGTGTGGTAGGAAGTGCCGACTGGAAACCCATAAACATAGACCGTTTCCCATTGATTACGATGCATTTGGAAAATTAAATCATAAAAATGCAAATTAGTGTTGCTCAGGCTATAAAAGGGAATAAACGGGCGGGCATAAAAGTTAAATGAAGGATTTTTGAATAATCTATTTCCCATAAAATGAAGGCAAATTGGAGATGTTTCTTGAAGACAACAACTTGTGGTCCACTTTAAACATTGGCCTAATTGATTACTTTAGATAATGGCATTCAAACTACACCCATCTGCTGACCAGCTAATCATCATCATAACAAGGTTACTGCGTGTGGCTCATAAATTTAAAAACAAAAACTTTCGTTTTCCTTTTACCCGAAACTGACAGCCCCATGAGCGATTGCAAAAGTTTTCCAGCTTATTTTTTCACTTTCCACCGAACAAGAAAAATGGGAGCTAGCTTTTTATGTTGAACAGGCGTGAAAGCCTTGTAAAATATCTGTCATTGAACAAGAGGACCACAGCACAAGTTTCCTTAAAAAGTAATAGCCTCTACTTCTCATAAATTTAAATATTGTTTTGAGATCAAACAGGGACTTTAACTAAATAATTTAGGTATCTTTAATTTCCGAATCTCTAATTAGAGGACCCAGAGTGACCTGTTTAGATTTGTCAAATTCTCGTCTCAATTTCCTGAGGTCACACACAAACCACATGTTTTACCTTAAAGCAGGATATACATATTCGTAGCCAATTAGGCACTACGAATTTGTGGTTAACTCAAGACGATGACCCTAAGTACTTGTGATTAACTAGTAAATAATAATTTCCCTAATTTATAGGAGTAGTATTGCAACACATATTACCAAATTATTGAGTATCTTGTAGGTAAGAGGTTGTCACAGAATTCTCTAGGGCTTTCAAATCACTTTAATAGGCGCCTAAAAGTATGCAGTGAAAAAACAGAGTCTTCTGTTCGACTAAAAATATATTGTTGCATACCTCTAAGCACTTCTTTTAATAAATTTAAAAACCCTAACATAGCATAGATAGAATTCTTAAAGGCCAAGTTATTTAAAGAGGCTGACATATTTTGTCAAAGGAGAATACTGTCAAAACCATCCTTGTTGCCAAGTTGAGGCCGCCGTAATTTCATTTTCAATCCGCACACGCACTGACATATTAAATTTCAGTGCCTGCCACATAAGTGGGTCCTCACTTAGTTTCACACGGAGGGCAATGAAAAAGTTTCGCTTAGAAAGTGTGGAGGTTCGTCAATGTTTCGCCCGAAGGTTGTGTGTCTGCCAGAGTCATTACCAACTAAACCATTCCATATATACACATTTATAGCAGCTATGTGACACATTTCAGCAGACAACACACTTATGCACTTAGTCGCTGATAGTAGTTTGCTCATAATTTTCAATTAAAAACTTGACGCCACAATGACTACATTTTTGGAATGAAAGTTGTCGAATCTGGAACTTTAAACTCTTTAAAAATTGTTAAAATATGCTAATAGAAATTTAAAATAAATATTAATTTTTCCAAATAATCAGCAACAGGTTTCATCTCCAAAAAGGACTCAGTGGATCTGTGACAAGT